CAAAGTAGTGTGTCTTGTGGCTCCTTGCACCATCATTGGCATCCTCAAAGCTTTCCTCGTCGTCATCCCTCATAGTGTCTCCATTGTCGCCATCCTGATTGCCATTGGTGTTGGATTCATTTGCACTCTCATCTGCGTCAAGAGCCATAGGATTGGCCACACCAAGTGAAGCAGCAGCGGCATCTTGCTTGGACTCCTGAATGGTCATGGTGGCAACGCCTGGAATTGGTGGAACATCAGTTTCAGGAGCTGGTTCTAGTAGACCCAAGGTCTTTGCTTTACAATGAATCTCTTTAGGCAATGGACAGTGAGTACTCTGTAGCTCAAGAAGGGAGTTCCTAACACAGACAGAAGCAGTGTCGTTGGCCGGGTTTGTGGGAACAAGGAAAGCAAGTTATGTTTCCAGATAAGGGAGTATCTTGTCTGGATCTGCCTTCCACTTGCAGAGGAAGCACAATGGGTCTTGTGGTCTAGAGATCGACACCTGGTGACAAAAGCATTGTTGGGAAGTATGATTGAATGTTGTGGGAGCTGGGTGATCTGTTGGCTTAGTAGCATCTACCTGCTGGGTGGTGTTTTGGTTATGGGTTGGTGCATCGGTGGAGTTGGTAACTGGTTCCTCCAATGACTTCTGTTGATCATGATTTTCACTGGTAGCAGCAGTGTTGAATAGAGGGCCTAGCTGCTTGACCGGAGGGGAGTCATCCTGGTTTTCATAGAACCGGTTGCAGGAGCAGCAGTGATGACCAGGTAGGGAATCCTCCTGAGTGCCCAGCTGAGTGGTGATGTCATCAATGCAATGCAGTTTGGTTGCTTCCATGGGTTCATGACATTGTGGGCAGTAGACAGGAGTAGGTGTTGGTTCCCCCAGAATCGTGATGTTATCAGAGGATTGAACGGCTGCCACATCTAGCAGATCCTGTTTCTTAGCCATGTCTTGAAGGTGCTGGATGCCTGCCTCGATCTCGTCATCAGTGGGATCAGTGGTGGTACCATTCGTCAATGTCGGAGCTGTACTTGTTGAGGATGATAATAGCAGAGTCAATGGAGACACTGAACGCTTGTCCGAAGTCATGGGACCTTGTAATGGAATGTGTTGCCTGCAGCTGATGCAGTAGTGAGTGAGAGGATTGACTGTCATGCACAAAAATCGGATGGTGTGGTGTTCTGAGATGACGCCCATGGAGTGACCACTTCACTACAGGTTGGACAAACCACCGGAATGGAGAAATTTGCTGTTGTAGTAGTACACATCGTGTCGTGTTCAGTAGAAGCTGGGATGTACCGCGTGGACGTAGATGAGGATGGAGAGACCAGATCAATCGGCTTCATAGCAGTTCCCATTTCCTTGCTATAAGCATTGATGTCCTCTGTAGTGCCATCGTTGTTACTGGTTGTAGCAGATTTGCCGATTGAAGCATCCTTTTGTTGCAGAAACAACCGAATTGAGTCTTTTAGTCGATAAGCCTTGTTACGCCGAAGCCCGATACCAGCATCTTTGTTGTTGAGTAGTGTTTCAGGTTTGTCCACGGGAGAATCCATTGCTTCTTTCTCGCCCAGGAATCGTCCAATTGATTCTTTCAGTCGGAATCGTTTATTTCGAGGTTGCTTTGTCTGAGTGCCGGTGTTGTTTCTTGGTGTCGATTTGCTGAGGCTATCTTGATGGCTTTCGCTACAATGCTGGTCGTGAAGAATCGCCTGATCTGATGTTTGGGTATTGGGCACTGTTGGTGGGTTGCTCGGCAGCTTTGATGCAGAGGGTAGGTCAGGCCAAGTTTCTTTATTATCGAAGTTGATAGTAATTTCTTGTGGTGTAACACGTGTTCCTCGAATCGACTGTCCGGTAGTGTGGCTTTGAATCTTCATATTAGATTTCCCGTGCCTGCGGATGATGTTTGGTTGTTCCCAAGCGACAGGTGTGGTTGTTGCAGTGACGAGTACCGGGGGTAGTGGTAGTGGTTGTGGATTAATCTGCGACGTCCTTCTTTGCTTTTTGCGGCGGTCAATGGCTGTGCGATTGTATTTCACTTCGTCTTTATCTGGATTGGCTCGTGCATTGGTACGGGTAGGAGTGCTTGCCAGGGAGTGTGCTTCCACAGACTCGCTGCCAATAGTGTCCATGGTATCGACAGAGTCATCGTCTTCCTTATCTTGGTATTGAAGAAGCCATTGGTCGTCCGGTTGGGCTAGCATAGAGAAAGAATTTTTCTGTGTGTCAATAGTAGCTCTTGGAGGGCCGGAGATACTTGCTTTGTTGAGTGGTGTCGTTTTCCGATTGCGTTGGATGCGTCGAAAACCGTCGTCTTGCTGATGCCCATGCAAGAGATTGCTTGCTTGGTCATCGAAAAACTCTTGGATTGTAGTAGTCTCAGGCCTTGTTTTCGATGGTTTCCTGGTCGATTTCCCCAGCGCTGGTCCTTGTGGCCGTCCACTCATGGTATTAGATGCCATTGCTAGCTTCTGCTTTGTGGTAGGAGTCGGATATCTCATACGAAACGGGCCAGAGGGCGCCATGGTGGCTCTTTTTGTTTCGAGTGGGTAGGAAACATAGGATAAACAGTACGAATCAGTGAGTCTGTGTGCGTCCCAAACAGGTGATTCTAGATTGCGCAGATCTAGAATTGTGTGGGTCGGGTATGCAAAGAACCCATTGGATCGCGAGTATTGTTGGCTTTCGGCTTGCTATCGTCAACACCACTTGGCTCAGCATTCAACTCATCCATTCTGCGATCAGCTTCTGTCTCAGTGATATGGGGATCAAAGACAGGCCACTCGGTCAAGTGGGGAATGCAATTGCGATGATTGAAAGCTTCATTATTCTCCTCATTGTATAGCTCCACGGCAAAATCAATGTAGTCCTCCTCTGAATTGAATCCAGTATGGTGCTTGGCATGGGCCCGACGGTAACAAGCCATGAATTTTCGGCAGCGTCCCGCAATCAAATTCCAACGGCGACGGAGCTGGTCAGCGGCTCGTGTTACATAGATAGTGTCACCTTCGTTATCAGGTTCAGCCTCTTGGTCAAGCAGTTTGTTGTATTTTGGAGCAACTCGATTCTTCCAGAAGTCTCCTCTCTTCATACCAGTGCCCTTCATGCTCTGTGTGGCACTGATGAAGGCACGGCACAATCGTTGATCCTCAAAATCATCAAAATTCGAACCACGCTTGCTCTGGGACTTGCCCTCGCCCTCGTCATCAGCGACAGCTGTGGTCTTCTTGACTTTCTTTTTCTTATTGTTGTTGCCGCCTTTGCCGCCTTTGCCGCCTTTGCCACAACGAGGTCTCTTCTTGGCGGTGGCAGGCTTGGTGGTAACCTTGGCGATGGTCTTATTACGCCGAGGAGATCTCCTCAATGGTTTACTGACTCTATCCAGAAGCTCCTTTCCAAGGGCTGCAGTGTCCATACTCTCATCGTCCTCATCGTCATCATCATCGCCATCATCAGAGGCTACTTCCTCTCGTTCTTTCAGCGGTACCTCCTCTTCCTCTTCTTCCTCCCCAACAGAGGGAACCTCCGCCTCTTTACTAGCCTTCTTCTTGGTGTTGGCCATGGTCTATCAGTATCAGTGCAGTAATAACAATAAAGAACAAGAGGCTGCTAGCTAGCGAAATGAACCAACAAAATCCAAAACATTGGTTAGTCGAAACGTTTAGCCGATCGTGGTAGATAACGTTTTTCTTAAATTTTGTACTAAAATATCGACTAAACTGGATAGTTCAAGATTTAGTCCGTGGAGGGTAGACACCTCCATGACTAAAGAGTACGGACTAAATCTGCGACTAAACAATGTGCTAAAGTACTCCTTTAGTCCCTACTTTAGTCACTCCGGTAGAGACCGGCCTAAGGTCTGGCGGTGGAAGGGCAAATTCTGTTCGATTTCATAAAACAAATCATGTAATCCTGGCCCAAATGGCGAAACTTGAAGCAAAAAAACTGAAATGGAAAATTTGAAGCAAAACAAAGCTGAAACTTGGAGTAGCGACAGCCAGACCTTAACCAGCTCTTGAACTGATGTGACTAGTCACTTGACTCACTCGACTGCACTCGCTCGAAGACAACGCATCGAGCAAGTGTGGGTCTGCCAATTACGCTCATTGACAGTGTTGACAGTGCTTCCGGAGGGCAGTGTGGATGTACCGGTACTAGTAGAAGTGTCCGTTCCTGGCCCTACAGCGTACTAGTACATAGCTGGCTGGCTCGCCTGACTTATGTACTGAAACCAATTGCAATATTGAAACAGTGCAAAGCTTCAAAGCTTCGTATGGTTCTTTTGTTGATGTGGGATTTGAAATGGGTACATGCACCGGTATAGTATGGTCACCTGTGCAACTACAAGCCAGGGAAAATCATATTGGAGGGAGGGATGCATTGCTTGCAGAATAAGATTTGGCAGTCGGCCGATGCTGAGAACATAGTTCCATCTGAACAGTCTGTATGTAGAAAAGGGTCGTGATTTTGGGCCTGTGTTGAGGAGTGCTTCCGCTTCCATCGAATCAAGTACTCGCAAGAGCCAGTCCACACTTGATATCATGAAGAAAGATTGAAGGTGCATGAAAACTCAGTTTTTACACTCCAGCACCACTAGCTAGCTAGAGTATGCATATGCCATAGGAGTAACAGAGGGGGAAGTTTAATAAGCTCATTTTCTTTCAGTCCACCGTTGCCATGATCAATACTATTTTATTAAGGTCCCCCCGTAACCATCTAGTCCCATATGCTCATGACTGGCAGAATTACTAGTAATTATCGCGACAAACTTCGAAAACACATTGCCAAAACCTTCCTATTGAAGGCTCCAATAGCTGTTGCTGTAGTCTGTTTTGGCTACCTTTATAGTGTGAAACAGTATTGTAAACAACCCAAGGAAAGAGGGTATGCAGATATTGACAGGTGTCTCGGACCCTTGGGGGAGTTCTTGTGGTGACGGTTGGAAGCAGCGATTTTCGTCGAAAATCATCTATTCCATAAGAGGTGGTAAACCACACAACACAGACAAAGAGATCAATGTCATCCTCTTGTACCCTCACTCTTTGTCTATCATCGAAGAGGATCCAGCAGTGGTATAATGGCAACAACGGTTCTGAAGAGTGTTATCTTCAGTCCCAAAAGCGACGGCAGTTTTCAATGGATATCCTCATTGTCGCGATTTTTACATGTTATTCTAATTCGTGACTCAGAATCATTCACATGGTTACGGGGGACCTTAAGTCAGCGGGAGCTGCGATACCTCGGCAGAAAGACAGATAGAAGAAGGGTTGCTGTTTGAGATTGCACTCTTCTTTCAAGGTAGCCCTGGCGACAACACTCGACTTCATCGTGTGTTGCCGCCCGGTATCATTCCCTCATTGTAATCTTCTTTTTTATTTAGACTGGCCCTGGCGACAACACCCGACTTCGTCGTGTGTTGCCGCCCGATAACCATAATTTTATAGCTGTCATTCCCTTATGTAACTGTAACCTTTGTAGCTTCTGCTGGCTTATTGTGATGAGTGCACTAACCTGAATAATCATGATTTTATTCCTACCCCTAAACTTGTTAAACCTTCAATTTCCAGTTTTGTTTGCTTACACCTATCTCTATCCCTATATTTTGGCTTCACCGGAACAGGAAATAGGAAATAGGAAATAGGAAATAGGAAATACCAAAAAAGGGGGTGAGGGCTCAGGCAGATAGACTGCCGAGGTTTTAAAATAGCTAGTAGTAATATCCAATGCAACGAGCACCTCCATGGGTAACATTATTTTTTGATACACTAGGACTCAGTACAGTACTGCTGTACTTGGTACTCCAATTAAATTAATAGTAATGCGGAAGCCTTTCATACGCTGTTTCCTGCAAAGGTTCCGTCTGAAGAAAAGAAAAAACTTCACGGGATTCGGGGGTGCACCCGACCCAAAATTTACCCTAACGACCGAAGAGTCCAAAATCGTGTCCACAAGGAGCATGGGGATAGCCAAAAGAATACTTCTACTCGATTCCACTACTATTGAAAGCACTTTTGACATGCCACAATGGTGTCCAAAGCATATCTGATGGTCTCAAAGCAAGGGTAGAAGTAGAGAGCTCTGAAGGGCTGAAAGGAGCCTTTTGGCTGCTGTTTAGCGGCAGCAAACGCTGTTATCTCATTATCTCGCTAGCCGCTGCACTGTGGGAGCGTCGAGAAGTCTCTTCTTGTTTCTTCGAGCTTCGGGGTACGACGATGGCTGCTCATGGAGTCGACTGTCGACTCTGATGTTGCGACTGGATGGAGATACCAACAGGACAAAACAACGGCGAAGGGCCGTTTCCGGTGTTATCTCGCAACGGCTTTTCGAGTTTTCGAGCATTCGACCATGAGCTTTCTAGCAACATTACGGCTCAGTCCAACGGAGGAGGAGGCGACGAAGATGCATGTTAACTCGTCGGCGATGTTTCGAAGGCGACGAGAACAACACGGAAGAGTTGCCGCGGTCAACAGGGGAGCAGAGGAGCCCGGCAGTCAACAGCAGGATCGACCGCATCAGAACAACACGACACGACAACAATCCCAAGCCATGAAGCTACTGGTTGTCGGCAACATTACCGGCACTCGGAAGAACGAAGGATGACCACAGCACTACCGAAACGATGTTGCGAGGAGAGGCTTGCTCGAACTCTCAGAAGACCATCCGTAGTGGCAAGGAAGCCACAAAACACGGGTAAAACCAAAAAAGCTTGCTATCTAAATGGGCTCCCACACACCACAACTCAGATTTTCAGGTTGACCTATGATGGGGATCCTCATTCTAATATAGATGCCAAAGGATGGTGTAGTTTATATTGTTATCCCCACTTTTGTTGATGGTGCTGATTTTGACCTTTCGGTCGTTTGGATAATTTTTGGTGGGGGTAGACCCACGGAGGTGGTGAAGAGACCCTTCAACAGGCTGCTGAGTCAGCACACGGGACAAAGCAGGGCAATTGAATCAGGGGCAATAGTCTAAGTCGCAAATTGGGATCGGGAAGACGCAATTGACAGCGACTGGGAGAGACAGGACAGACGCTTTCATGTAACAACAGGTTACCTGTCCATGTCGTAACGTGAGTCAACGTGCAAAATAAGGATCCCGACGAGAGTTACTGGTGTCCTCTGTGTGCGTGGTCTATGACTCGTCACTTTTCGCGATATTCTACAACGCCTTGAAGACAATCCAATCTCGAAGAGATGTCGCCTTTAGCTTCCGCAAAACACTCCAGTGCCCAGTGCAATGCCAAGAACCGTCGAACCTTAGCTTGACCTCTCTGATACCGGTATATTAGCTAGCTAGTACTACTGTACCAGAAACTCCTCAATTTTTATATATTGTCGTCTCTTGTCTCTTGTTAATTAACAGCAACGCGAGAATGGAAGATACACTTTCACATCCCCTACACAACCCTCCGAGAGCAGCCATGGAGTCAATTCCTTCCATGAGCAACAGTTATGCTGTTGTCGAGGAAGCGACCTCCAAAGCGGAACCGGAGATTTCCGGGGCGGTTTCGTCAGATAATAGGAACGATGAAGCGAGTGCTGGCCCTGGAGACTACTGGTTCCAGGTACTCAATGGCCTCCTAGATGAGGAGGACGACCAAGAAGAGGTGACGACTGGCGGTTCAGCGGGGGCATCTATGCCCATGAAGCAGGATATCACGAACGTCACCGGCTTATGGATTGACAGGAGTCCGGCAAACGCCGGCTCGAACACAGCGACCTACACTCACCAGAAGCAAGAGCCGTTCAACGAAGGGCGATTTGATGCCGTTATCACCCCTCCAGCTGTGCCTGGTTGCGAAATGGAACAGCCATGTACGAAAAAGAGGAAGAGATGTCCTCTCACAGACGAACAACGAATTGAACGAAATTCCCGTGAACAAGCCAGAAGCGGTCGTTTGACCAACGTCTTTGCGGAGCTACGCGAGGTCCTCATGTCGTCCGGAGTCGTCGTCACAAGAGGAACTAAGGATACTGTACTGTCAGCTGCAATTGAGTTGATCAAGAAACTGGAGCATAACCAGGGCCAAATGGACATGTAAGTAGGCGATGCGGTACCGGTATGGGGTGGTGTCCCAACAAATACTTGATTTTCCTCACTTACTTTTCAAAAAAAAAAAATTTAGGACGAATAAGCACATGGCTCGGAAAATCGAGGAGGCGAAAGGAGCTCAAGCGATTGCTGAAACATCTTGTCAACAATCAATTGTGGAGCAAGGCAGGTCACCACATACCGGTGCTGCCAGTTTGGTAACCGTCCACGAACACCCACAAAGTGTTCCAAGCATCGGCTGTACGCTGCCGCCTGGTTCAACCAACCATGACATGTACACTATGCTCTTCCATTCCTCGGCTGCGGGCATGGTACGTTCGTTGGTGGTTGAATGACCGGGATGTTATAACAACATGGATCAATCTCTAACAGGCTTCTTGTCGCTGTGTTGTGTTCGGGACAGGCTATCGCCACACTAGGCGGGAACATTAAAGACTGCAACCAAGTCTTTTGCTTTCTGGCCCAGACGTCACGCGATCATGTCCTCAATACCACCGTCTTCAATTGGGTTGCCAAAGAGGACCAACATCGTGCCTATCAAAGTCTGTTGACAATGCTTGGCAACCTCTTTTCGTGCGAATGATGGCTCTGACGCGAGCTCACCGCCAAAAGTATTGATCCTGCGAAGCTCCTTTGCAACGAACATTGACTTCCACATCAACGTCGTTGTCGGAGGCACTGATAGCGGGCACTACCTGTGTGTCACACTTGTCCAGAGGAGTCTAGCGCTCGGTCAGAACAACCCCCCACCACCCGAAACAAGCAGTAGCTGGTTCCCTGCTGTTGTCACCGTTGCAAACAAGCCAATGCGGGCTCTCAGCGATGACCAGCATTCCTTCACGGTTGGTTAGCTAGCTGTCAGACTGGTTGGAACCTTCCATGCATTATTACATACATGGCTGTACAAACCATGCATCGCAGACAGCAAAAACGGTGCAGGTGGTCGAGACTACTGCTTCACGTTCATGTTTACATCCAAGACTATTCCGGCAGCCAATGCAACAAAGGGCAAGCACTGCTTTTGAACCACAAGCAAGGAGGATGTGCCCCAACTGCAGTCTGCACTCTTTTACGATGGGAAACAGGCAGCTGCTACGGCACAGAAAGGAAGGGGCAATTCCAGACTTCTTGTCAGGTGACGAGGCCAACGGCAACCCCCTAACAGACGACCAGTACCGTACCATAGTAGAATAATCTTCATACATAGCTATCCTTGCATGTTCGACAACGCAAAACGACTTCTCAGCCAGCGCTTTTTAGATGCTCGGAGGAGCGACTCTGTGTTGCTTGTTGGCTTCTCTTCGCGCCTTCGGACAACGCAAAACGACTTCTCAGCCAGCGCTTTTTAGATGCTCGGAGGAGCGACTCTGTGTTGCTTGTTGGCTTCTCTTCGCGCCTTCGAGAGCGACGCGACTACGTCTGCCTCGAGGAGACCCAAGATCCGTTGCATCTTTCTTCCCTCTTGTCAAGTCTTAGTGCCGAGCTTGTAGTTGGCTCCTACTAGTAGTGGTTTCTTGCGGCTGTGCCGCCATGAGGGTTTGTTTTCTCTTGTGTGTACTGCCCTGGCTTGTTTTGCGCACGGTACTTCTACAAGGATATGAAGCAGCGTGCACTCCTCAAAGCAACATGATTCGATTCTGTTCTGTCATGTCTCATTGTTTATGCAACGCCCAAACCAACCAACAGAGGTGCGTGGCTGCTTCCAAGATCTTCAGCTCGTTTGGAGCCTTCTTCAGAGCCGATGCTCTGAAGTGCCTTCTCAGCGGCGGTCGACCTACTCAGAGCCGATGCGAAGAAGTTGCTTTCTCAGCCGCTATCGACCTACTCTATCCAGAGACACCGCATAGCGAAGTCAGCAGCACTGTTTCTTCTTGTCTAACAGGCTTGAACAGTGACATTTGCATCCTTCTTTCCAGGACTTCGGATGTGATTGCCGATGAGTGCCCTTGAGTGAATAGGAGTGTGATTGATGGAGTCCTCGCTTGTTTCTGCTGAGTCTATGACCAAGAGATGCGGTATCGGTTGCCTTGGTACAGCATCATCAGCGTCAGGTTGTCGCTGTGGAAGGCAAAGCGTGCTACAAGAAGGTACAGTCCATACAGAGTAAGCTGTTGTCTAACGTTTTTCTATCTTATCACCATTGTCAAGGTTCAGGAATAATTCCGAGAAGTGCTTGTCAGTTGGCTACCACATCAAGAAATACTTGTGTGTGTGCGCGCGCAGAGACTCGAGGCTCATCTCGGTACACTGGTGGCAGTCTCCCTTTGTTTGTCTGCACTGAGCTTGGCTTTGGCCTACCGTACTGGTGCAACAGAGCCGTTTGTTGAGCCACCAAGCCGTCTGTGGCGAAAAAGGAGCAGATGGCGATTATGGCGATTCATGGCAAACGGCATTTCTGTTTCTTTGGCATCAGATGCAAGGGTCAAGCATCTTCTTGCACAGCCCTGTTGTTCGAGCATTCTCTGACGAACGGGGATCCATGATCAGACCGCGAAGCTTTTCCTGTTCCTTCATCAAGTTCGAACTGGTTTTCGGATCGCCCCGTCTTGTTTCGACTGTTTCGTCGTGTGGACACTGTCCCACCGGGAACTGGAGCTTTCTAGGCTGGAAAAGCTGGTGAACGAAGAGTTTCCAAAATCAGACATAATCTCGGATGCAGATGTAAGGGATCCTCGCGCATTATCTGACACCAAGATTGGTGCAGGGGCGTTGCCATCCAGCAAAGCGCTGAAGTAGTTCCGTAGAGGATCTTGCGTCATCTTGTGGAAATAACGAGAAAGATGGATTTGTTGGGTGGGGTTGAGAGTGAATGGTCGATGAAATGCATGAGAATCTATCGAAGCCTCCTTATTGTGTGGGCTGCCGGCCTGTGAGATGGGAATGTTTTGCTTGCCCTCTTGGTTTCAGCTGTCCCAGTTGTACTCAAGTAATGAGCAGGCTATAGCTGCCCGGCTAGCAGCTGGATGGTAACAGAACAGCTCTCGAATACATTGTTGGCAGCTGGCTCTGTGCAATATTCCACCATCACCTTTACAACTTCACGAGACACCCGTTCGTGATGGTCAATGGTCAACGCTGTGAAGACTCTGTGAAGAGCTGTGAAGACTGCTTTGCCCCAACTCTGTCTTCCTTGGAAATCTTAATTAGGCGAACAGATACACCAAGCACAGTCTTTTTCTGCGACCTTCCCCTTACTATACATTTTCAAGTACAACACCTTGACTTTGTATGTACAAGCCAGGATGCAGATTTAACAATTGATAAATCATCTGGTTATTTAGACTGACACTTGAACATTCGTAGGCCTCTTTCTACATGTCTGAATCAGAACCTTTTAAATCACAGTGATGCCATTACCTATCTAAGTTCTCCTCACTGGTTCCACCAAGTTCAAAGTAAGCACAAAGCAAATTTCTACAGGCTTTAAGACTCGACTCTTTAAATTGCAAGACCCTCAGCACTCTTCATAACTTATAATAACCAAGACCCGGTGAGACCAAGGTCCGAACCGAGTGTCAAAGCAATCTTGGTGACATAGGGCATATTTTGGTAAAGGTGAAGTGGAAACCGGTGTATTAAGCTTGTGCTACGAGCTGTTATGTTTGTCAGTTGAACTGAAAAGGGAAGGTGTACCGGTCCAGTCTAGCTGGGTCGTTCCTGCGAACACCACACAAATAAATTTGCTTGACACTTTAGAAATAAGTCTTGACGCTTACTTGACCCTGCTTCTGACTGCTTGATGCAGAATGCAGAGCCTCCGGCCTGCATGACCTCTGTGCAGTTCAATATCATCGAATGGTCCAAGACCGGCTACGATTGATGGTTGCGATTTTGTTTTCCAATACAGATAAGTACAGTACGACTGTAGACAGTAGACCCATACTAGTATGCCAGCACCGTCAACCCACACCGGTACTACCGGTACCAGCTCCCGACACCCATCCGACGTGGCTCGCTGTACGCCTAGAGTTCTGCTAGCTAGTAGCTTGCTAGCTAGTGGAAAGGAGACTGGTTACCAGCGAAGGTCCAGGTTGTTCCAGCTATATCGCAGACTTGTATTCTCGACAAAAAATCTTGCTTTCTTGAAGACTTGATTGGATCAAAGCAAGGGGAGGCTTCCAACAAGCGCAGCTGCTGCTGGTCACACTTTCTCCAGTTGCAATTTCCCTATGATAAATGCTCCAACAAATTTTGACCTCCGTCCGGAGTAGAGTACTACTAGTACCACTCAGAGCTCAGAGTTCAGAGTGCTGTAGTAGACTACTGTAGTACTCATACTCCAGAGCTCAAAGCTACAGACTCGACTCGACTCCAGGCTCTTGTAGCAGTTTCCGGGAGAGAGTGCTGCAAGATCCTTACACACGTAGATCCTTTCATCTTTATGAGCTTGTATGGTACAGTAGCGTTTTCCATTGAGGCTTCTGAGGCCAAGGCCATTCATTTGTATTCTTTTCATGGTGCGTCCAAACTTGGCCTCACAAACTACGTTCCGTCAATCGGGGGCTGCGAAGTTTGGCAACTACCGGTACCAGAAAAGATAATGCATTTCCACAGCTATTTCCACTCTTTAGTGGCGGGCTGAAACCCCAACAGCAATGGAATGACAAAGATCAAAAGATCCACACCGGTTTACACAACACTACCGGTACGTTCCATACGACTACGATGGCAACAGACTTTCCGGTTTAGCTACGTGATACATTGATCATATGGTTGTAGGTTTGCAACATCACCTTTGTAAAGTAGTGGCCAAGCAACTAGAGATTGGAGTGCTGTTTGAGAAGGAGGAACTTACGATGAGGGGCGCCAGTGGCCGACTTCGATTCGGAGTTTCTGGAGAGTTGCACTGAGTTGACCCACATTCAAGCAGCTTCTCAGGAGGAACCAATGCGGTCCAGCCAAAGTGTTTGCTTCTCACATACCCACCAGTTCTCGGTTGACTGCACTTCTAGCTCGAGCGTCCTCGTATCATCTGTTTCGTTCGTCCACACCAGTACGCAACACAGGAGGACACTGAGACAAGACATTTCCCCACCAACCTCTTTCGACGAAAGAAGTACTACAGAGTAACTACGTACTACTTGAATAAAGCGAGCAAGAGGCTGTCCAAACCTGTGGGATCGAAGTGTATACCATAACCGTGCTGGTCACCTGATAAAAAGAGTGTACAATCTGCAGGGGTCAAGTTGGAAAACGCTCGACAGGATGGGGGATCAAGCATCGCTTCATTGGCTCCTTGCAACAGTTGAACATCATGATGCAAGTTCGCATTAGTCGACTATTTACACGAAACCTTTGCCCAGCCACGAAGTCTGTGGACAAGGCTGAAGACCAGCAGCAGTATCAGCGTTGAATGAAAGCAATGGCGATGGCGCTCGCTCGAAAGCAGAACCATTGTTCGTTGCCCAGCTACTTTATTGTTGAAACCAAGTCTTAAAAGTGATTTCTTTGAATCGAAGAGTGTTCTCTTTCGTGAACCGGTCCACATGGACAGTTCCCATTTCTGTGATGAGCCACTTCGCATTGACCGGAAGGAGAGTCTCTGAGGATGACGAGGCGAGAAAGCAGTCCACTGCTCATTCTCACCGTCAGTTTGGGTCAAGCGTTGAGCATTGACACCTGTATCTTGAGACATGCAGTAACCTTATCCCGTGCCATTGCATTGAAAATCATACTCTAGCCGGATGTATCTTGACCGGTCTAGCTAGTTTTTCCAAAATAGGCTTCCAATCTCTTGTGCGCTTCCAATATGGTGTCATCGCCCTTGCAGAATGCAAATCGCAACAAGTTTTTCGCCAACGGGACATTGGGTTCGGAATAAAAGGCACTGGGTGGAATGGCGGTAACTCCGACCGTTTGGGTCAACCACCGACTGAGAGCCCAATCGCGTGGCATGGTGGATGTGGGAGTTGCCGGGGTCACCTGGGTAGGATCATAGTCAAAATCACTAATGTGCGATGTATCCGCCATGATGAAGAAACCACCGGGTGGGATCACGGGAGTCATTCCGGCCGATTGCAGTGCGTCGGTCAGCAATCCGCGTTTTCTCTTGTAATCGGCGGCCAAATAGTCGTAAAAGGATGGATATCCCTCGTACGCTTCTTGTTTGGCAATGAGGAGCGACTGAGCAATGGCATCTTGATTGGGAGTGGGTGCGGAAAAGTTGACCCATTGTTGTACGGCACTGAGTGCCTTGACCAAATGAGGGGGGCCGACTGCCCAGCCCACTTTCCATCCCGTACAGGAAAACGTTTTGCCAGAACTACTCAATGTCAACGTTTTCTCCCACAAGCCATCAATTGTGGCAGGAGAAATGTGCGGTTCGGTCTCTGTATCAAAGACAATGTGTTCGTAGACTTCATCGGAAAGCACCGTCACGTGAGGATACTTTTCCAGCAATTTGGAAATTCCTTCTAGTTCGGTTCGAGAGAACATTTTTCCGGTTGGATTGTGAGGTGTATTCAAGAGCAGCACTTTGGTTTTGCTGGTCAATTTGGCTTCCAGTTCGTCCAAATCCAATGTAAAATGCAGAGAGGCACTCTTCATGGTGCTTTCGTCGTCCGTGGATGGTCGTAGGGGGCAATAAACGGGAACTCCTCCAGCCATTTGGACGGAGGACATGTATATATCAAAGGCAGGTTCGAGCAGCAGCACTTCATCTCCTGGATTGACGAGTCCTTGCAAGGAACAGTAGAGAGCATTGGTACAGCCCACTGCCGTGGCAATTTGTGTCTCTGGATTAATGTCACGGCCAAAGCGTTGACTGTAGTCTTCCGCCAAGACTTGTGCCAATGGCAAATGGGCATAACTTCGCGCGTATTGATTGGCATGACGACCCAACGATGGATCCGTGGCACGTCGCATGGCTTCCACTGCAAATGCCGGTGGATCCCAGTCTGGAAAGCCCTGTCCCAAATTGACGGCATTGTGTTCAATGGCCAATGGCGTGAATTCGTGCCACACGGTCGGTTTGTCGAGTCCATCTAGGCGAGATGCCAAGGAAAAGGAATTGACGCTGCTGCTGCTGCTCGACTGAAACAGACGAGACCGGATTCTGCCAATTGCCTCTCGACGGGAGAATGCTCTACTGCTGGGCAGCCACATCATCATTACACAGCTACTCGCAAAGGCAGAGTAGAGCACCGTGGGCAACATTCCTCTCATTCAAACAATTCAATGAATAGCTTCCTTCTTGTTCGGTTGAGTTCTTCTATATACCAGTCGGCCACTAAGCTATAGTCAGTCTTCACACCGACACTGGCTACAGTCCGATGTGCCAATCAAACCAAGCTCAAGCAACCAAGGCAACTTGGATCTATGGTATCGATATCCAGTGGCTGACAGCCGTGGATCTTTTCGAAAACGGAGGATCCAAAGAACCTTGTCGAACTTGTGACCGTGGATGGATCTTTCCACGCTCTTGTACCACGCAGAACAACAGTGAAGGAAGGAAGCTGGCTAGCTAGTTGTAGCTACATGTACTCTAGGTCCTTGACTTATTATTTACTTGTTGTTGGCTGGATATCATGTGCGAAAGGGCAACCTGGTCAACAGATTTGCCAATGCCCAAGCAACGAAAGCAAGACGCCCACGGCCAACCGATGCCGGTAGCAAAACAAACTAGGTAATAAGGCACGTGGTCTGTCGAAAGTTGCTTTCTTTATCCCAGAAGCCAACGCAAATCGCGGGTTACCTACCGTAGCTACAGTCTACTGCTCTAGTTAGCTAGAGGAGGAAGGTACCACCCAGAAAGAAAGCAACAAGAAGGCAATCTGATGTCGTAGCCAGACAGGTACCAGTAGTAGAATAAACTTCTAGTTCAGTCACTTTTTGCTGAATCGTATAGCCTACTACTACATAGCTACCGGTAGTACCGGTACTCTAACAGCGAATAACAAGGCCGACGGAGTAATAGTACCGTAGCCAAGCAGACCAGCGTCGATTTGTGGAGCCTTGCATGAATACCAATTTTGCGAGAGATAATGAACCAACAAGACCGACTTTTCTCGCATACAGCTTTAGTTCTTCTCCCCTGTTGCTTGGGACCTGGTGTTGTTGTAGTTACTGTTGTTGTTGCCATTGTCAGTCCCAGTGCAAAAAGTTCGGATCGCGGATCTGGAGAAACCCAGGGGCAATGGCGTGTGGCATGGACCACAGCAGAGCACGTATGACAACGGTTGTGGTTGTCTGTTCATCGTTGTTACCACCAAATTTCGGAGAGTGCCGACAGAAAGGCGACCCTCTTGTCCGCCAATAGCATTCTCATCATTTGGGAGGAGTGGAGGGGTTATGTAGACTCGACTCTTTCTATTCGTTTCCTGTGAGCTTTAGTGTTTGATTCACGAGTCACTTCACATTTATAAACCGCCAAAACCTTCAGGAGAGCGGGAACCTGGACATTGCTACTTCATGTATGCCCTTCAAGCAAGAGAACAACTTTAGCAACGACAATAGTCCAGGTGCTTTGCGCCTGCGCGTTCATTTACTAGCTAGTACCTGTAGTGCATGCTCGTTGAACATGGTCTTGTAACGACTATCTGGAATAAAGACATCTGTTGCCTGGCTCGAAGACTTCCTCGAGTCTATGCGCAGAGAGGAGCCTCTCTCCCTCTCTTCCTGCCTTTTGGCTGTCGACTGGCTCTCCTTGGTTCTTTTGCTTCCTCCAGCCTGGCGTTCATTTTAGTACCGGTAGCAGGCATCCTTTCGCCCAGACCGTAGCATCCTCTGACCTGGCTGAATCGAATCAATTAGACTAGCAATGAATCGGATCAAGTACTAATATGCTGGTGGTACCGCCAGGTGCAAATACATGTAGCTCCTTCTGATTGTGCCGGTGGTGCCTGTACCCGGTACATCGTACCGGTAGCTGTCAAGTCGAAATCTTTGATACCCGGCACAAAGTACCAGTAGCCGTTTCTCTAGCATCTCCTCGCACGCCATCCAATCACTGTCAGACAGACTTTTCAGAATTGGGCGTATACAAGGTACCAGAGTGGGTTGAGGGGCTATGGTAAACCACTGGTATAAAACAGAACAAAGATTAAGTCTGATTGACGCAGTTAGTCATGCTCTACATCAAAGCATTAAAGCCGCATTTGATCCAGTTGGAGGATTTTAGGATAGTCGTTAGAGGGTTAAATGTCACGCACCATATCCAAACCGTATTGTCCAATGGCACACAACAAACAACATGTGTCCAGGTGCGTCCAGGCAAGTGTGGGTGTGGGCTGTTCATTGCGGCAATGAAAGATTGAGATGGCCGCGAAATGATTGCGTGAAGTGAGGACAGCCAATACCGCTTATGAACAGCCATCGTTAAGGATTTGTTTGTTGCGTTTAGCTTACATAAATGTTACTTGGATTACATCTAAACTTATCTGAGCCTTACCAGGCTGCATCCATTCCCAAGTGGACCGGTTCCCCCTGGATCATAGCCTTCCTTGAAGGACTTAGGGAACCCACAAATGCTATTTATCATAAAGGATCGAATGCTAACGATGATTGAAGAATGATATATAAGCCCAGTGCACGCGGAGCGACCATACCTGGCATCACTCACTTCCTGGCTATCATTCAGCTTTGTCACTGTGCAAAACTGTGTCTGTGAATGAGTTGGATGAGCAAAACTTGTGGGAACAAGTGCAGAAGCTCATTATTTTACGCTCCTCATCCCACTACATCACCCCACAAACAGCAAATACTTCTGCATTAGCTTTCTTTCGCAAGCGTACATTACGTAACATTCTGTGGAACTATTATGATGATGAAGATTGAGCAAAGTTGTCTCCTCCTCTGGCTAGCACTGGCAGTGCTGGTATCTGATTCTCCGGTATCCGCGTATCTTCGCAGCAGCGCCAGTCCAAAGTCTCTTCAAAAGAGAAGGCAACTGTTGGTGCGATATTTGAAATCCAAGGCAGACAGAATAAACCCTGCCTTTGCCGAAGAACTGAGCTCAGGCTCTGCCACATACTCTTCCACTGTAGACGAACAAATACAAGACGAGAAAACTGGCAGTTCTTGTGATGTTTCTGGTACTGTCACCTATACCATTAGCAAGGTTTCTTCTGACATTACACAAGGCGGTGTCACAACGATACTGCCAGTGCCAGGCAGCGACGACTTGTGGACGCTCAAGACATCGTTTGGATCCTTCAGTGCTGACATGACGGCACAGGTACTGGGAAAGCACTGTGGACGTGTCATGGACTTTACGTCCTTTGGACGAGTGACAGTGGAGGGCGCCCAGGTCAAGGCCACAATACGGCTCAATGGACCCAAAAACCGACCAGAAGTAGTCGATATTGTCGATGTGGAACAACACCACATTGAGTTCGAAACGAGCAGTGCTACCTTTAGCAAGCTCATTCGAAGAATCCCCCTGCAAGCAGTGGAACAAGATATGAACCAGTTCATTCATTCCCTTTTTACTTCCAAATTCCAATCTGTCATGGAAGGTGAACTGACGAGAAGTTCATAGCAAAGCAGCAAACATCATGTCTCTTGCTTGGGCGGCTGCTTTTAAAACTGCACTGGGGTGGTTATTACATGCTTTCATTCGATTTCGCTTCCAGGAAATCGTTCCTCCTTCCTCCTTGTATATCTAGTTTAAAAAACCTCCTTTTAGCAATTTCCAAAGCGCCATTACAATCTCTACTTTAGTCTAGTTTCTGCTACATCTCTATGCGTAGTGGGGGCTTTCAGAACAGATGGATGGGCTGTTTGCTCGATACAGCAGGGGCGTAACACAGGGAGCATAAGAAATCCAAGGGCAAGAAGCCCTTAGTGACTGGGGCCGTTGTCTCCTGCACAAGCAGCCACATTTGCGCCTGCCCAGCTCTAGAAGATGCTAGCTAAAAAATTTCATCGTTGCAAAGGGCGCTGCCTGGAAGATGCTAGCTAGAGATAGGTTTGCCAAGTGCGCTGCCACTGCCTGGAGGACAGCGACCAGTACTATCGTAGCCCTAGCTCTAGAGGCTCGTGGTCCTTTACCGGTAAACACAAGACCAAATTACCAGAACAAACTGAATGAATAGAATCATGCTTGGTACAGACGCTTCAACTCCTACCATCCGATGGTGCTTCGTTGCCGCTAAAGCTTGCTCCGTAGCTGTTCTTGAGCCAAACGGCGGGGCTGGCTAGCCCTTACGTAGTGCATGTAGTACCGGCGAGAAAAAAGCTTGCAGCAGCTTTTGCAGCACAGTACCGTCCCATCCCATCAGCATCAATCTTTTCTGATCAAGTGCTGGCTGCTGGCTGGTACTGTAGTACTTTACTCTCAGTACGGTAGTACCACCGGTACCGGTGCCCACCCCAACGAACTTCAGATTGTTACTGTAGTCAGTTGGGTTGATGCGGGAGTGAGCAGAGCAAGAACGGCTTGGTGAACGGTAATCAGATGCCTGCGATCCGGTCGACTCATATGATTCCACTGGTCTTTAACCAACAATCGTGTGAGGAACAATTCGTAGCATCTCATTTCAGGTGTCCCAGCTTGGAACTTTTTTGTCCTCGCCATGAGTTGAGGAACCGAAAAAGATGCTCGAGATTCTCTCGCTCTTGCCTCTGTCAAGCTGGACAAACTCAGCTGCAAGGTAAAAATCGTACCACCGGCCGTTGGTTGGCTCGCAAGCAACAGCTGCATGCTGCATGGCTGCAGAACAAATGATGGCGAGGGCGCAGCGACAGTACTGATCTCACCCGAGGGGTGACTGGCTGTTTGTTGTTGTGTGTGTGCTAGATTTCGAAGTTGTGAAAAAAATTTAATCAACTCGGTGGTCAGGGCATTCGTGTGGTCAAACAAGGGAAGCAGCATCCTTGTGCGTTGGCTGCCCCACCGTCCGGTACGGTAGAGCTGTGCGGTGCCGCTACGGTACGATAGCTCCAATGTTGCCGTCAGAGCAACCGGTAGCCATATGGTTCGGTACCGGAATCTGATTTGAGTTAAAATCGAAAATCAGCTCTAAAACATCAAAACCAGCCCCCAACTCATATAAAACCCAAGTAAATTGCAAATTCAGATCCAAATTTTCAAAACAATAAATACGAGCTGATTGGGAAGTCAGCGCTTTTATTAAACAGCTAAAACAGCTCCTAAATTGGGAAAACCCTCCTAAACAATTTACATTAATCAAGGGTCATTCAGGATTCCCCAGGTCACAATAACCCAAATAATCTGCATTTATCCATCCGAACGCTACCGCTACGATACGAACCTTACAGTAGAAGTCAAGTTCCAAGCTTTGGAGACGTACGATACACTGCACCGGGCATCACACCGGTACTACATGTATACCGTACTCGTAATTAGAAGCAAACCTACGCACTCTCTCTAATCCATACTAACTGTAACTAACTTCCGTTCGTCACTCAAGAAGGTCATAATTAGTAACTTCCGTTCGTCACTCAGAAGGTCATAATCTCGAGTGTGAAGGTTTGTAATCCCTTACGACTTTCCATTTCTTTCGCAGTAGAAGTGTTGACCATGACCGACTCTAGTAGATGGAACTTGTTCATGGAATCGCTCAGCGATGAAGTGGACGTGGATGATTATATCGCGGCTGCCTCCAACAAGGGATCAATTGTTACTATCAAAGATTCAAGAACCGAAGAGACCGAAGCCAGTCATGACAGATTCGACGACGAAGAAGGCGACGAAGAACAAAAGCCGTTGGTGGCTGTGGCTGCTGAACAAGGACGTGAGCTGGTGCCCATGAAGGAGGACGACATGTACAGTTTGATTTTTACGAGTGCTGTCACACGCCCCGGCTTTTGGTTTGCGTTGGCCATCTTTACCTTTCAGACAGTGATAATGGTCCTGGTGTTGAAAGACACCCTTGACTTTCAAAGCGACACAAACAAGTTCAAGATGCCTCCTGGAAACCATTTGGAAGTGATCCTTGCTCAGGGCCTTCTCATGGTGATTTTACCTCAAGTTGCAGACGACTTCATGGACGCGATCGAATTCATGATTGACGGATACGACGAGGGCGTTATTGACCGTGAAGGGTGCAAACATGCAACCAAGTGGAAGTGGCTACTTGCAGGATCTCTACACTTTGGCGTTGGCGCCCTCATGGTCGTTGATGTTTTTGCGCTCATTATGCAGCAGACGTCTGTAATTGCTCTTGGAGGTGTCTATGCCGCTTTTGGTTTCTTTTCCGAAATTGACAATGTGGCTTTCCAAATTTCCAAAAAGGGACTTTGCTCGGTGCCACTGCAACAAGACATTAAAGATTCTCTAAAGGTGAAGACTTCCAAGACTACCACGTACACATGGCATCGGCGATTCCGAGACACGCTGCTGGCAGGAGCGCTCGTGGTCGGCTGGGGTGTCCTTACGTACCAAATGATTAAAGGAGAATTCTTGTGTCACAATCTACTTGTGCAGGTATGTGCATGCTTTGTTGTTGCTCGACATGTATTTAGCAACCAAGTGCCCTCCAACCAGCCATGCATGCTTACGCCTTCTTGTACTCTTCGGTTGCCTCTGCAGTTCGGCGACGTCTACAACGCACATGTTGCAGGTGAAGTATTGGGTCCTATTCATTCCGACATTGCAAAGTCGCCTCTTGTATTCACCCTAGCTGTACTTTTTGTTTGCTTGCTGTCTCTCTCCCCCCCCCCTTGAATTTGAAGAGTATTATGGAATGTTTGACATGCTAGACGACCTTAGTAAACACGACCACAGAGCTGTCTATCAGGAGAGGTCCACTGGGAACATGCGCCTAGCGTACTGCTTGAAACAGAAACGGTGGACTCTGGCAGGACAGAAAGCGGATGGCGACTTTGATCCTTGTGATGAAACTCTCATTGTGGCCGCATCACAGGAAGAAAACAACCCTGGATTTGATATCTTGACGACAACTAGCTGGTCGGTTGTTCCTGCTGCTCTGGTCGGCGAAATGAGACCATTCACCGACTTCACAATCAAGTGCAATGAATGCAGCGAGTTGACCTGTGGCAGCGGGACTTGCGATGGTGTTCGTTGTGTCTGCCAGTAAGTGACTGACTCTTGGAAATTCTACACCCACGGCTCTCCCCAATGCTCTCTCTTGCGACTCACCAATACGCCTGCATGTATGAATTACCGGTACACCCCCACACCCACCTGCAGAGATGGTCACTTCGGGATCAACTGTGAGTTTGTAAGTACCAAAGCACTCTTTTCCAGGGCTCATCAGACTTTGTTTTCTGTCCATTGCTGACTTTGCGTGCCATGCCTCTGCAACAGGCTCATCCGTGCGACCATTTGACACTGAACCGCAATACACAAGCCTTCCCTGTGGCAAAACTTGGGCTGGTGTCATTCCCTACTGAGTTCGATTTGCTTCGGTTAAGCGACGGCTCCAAGAGCTCAACTTCGGGCGACAGCAGCAACGTCCTTCAGATTGAATACCGGCCAGTGTACTTTGGCAAAAGCGAGCGCAACAGAACGTTTGTCATGTTCTTTGCAGGGAGACGCTTTGTTCTCGTTGACAAAATGGACGACCAGGTTTTTGCCAACAAGCAAGAAGCAGTAGACTATATATCCAGTGACACGTTTAACATTCTCCACAGTGGCTACAGCCCCCACTATGTCAGTGGTGCAATGGACGTCGATGAGCCAAACGAGAAAGCGATACCAGATAGAATCGGTTGGTATCGGGTGCGGGCAATTGACCAGATGAGCGGCGAAGGAAACAAGGGCTGGTGGTCCGTGGCCATGGACGAGCCAGTTGAGACAAAGCTACATTGCGCCCACTGCAATGAAGTGTCCAACCCTTGCGAAAACTTTGGGTATTGCAATTTCACCAATAACAGCACTGGCACTCCTTTTGGCTCTTGTGTGTGCTACCAAGGCACTCAAGGTAGTTTGTGTGAATACGATGAAAAGGTGAGTTCTGCAGCGGCGTTTAGGGGTGCTTCCAATGCTTCATCTTACAAAGTTGTCTTCTGTACCGTAGTGCAACGACCCCGTAGAAGATGACCAGACCCACGACGATGACGACGACGGCATACCATACACGTTGGGATGTTTCTACTCCACCCATTGCCAACTCGATGGAACATGTGCTAATTGCCCTGTTGGTCTTTGGGGTTCCAGGTGTGCAGTCCCTATCCCATGCCATCTCGCTGCGAAAAATGCAAAATTCGACGATACGTACAAAGGAGACTCATCGGCATTCAATGGATGTTTCCGTGGTGGGACCTGCGATCACAAGACGGGTTCGTGCACTTGCCTTGAACCGTACAGAGGTCCCCTCTGCCAATTTCCAAATGTTACTGACATCAAAGGCGTCAATTTCTATTGAGGATCCAAGATATAGGTTTGCGAAGTGTGCCTTCGCTGTTTGATTAGATGACACATCGATGGAGCTACCATGTCAGGGAGGGTGAAAGAGCTACCAGCATCCTTGGGTTGGTGTGGCCACTTCGTCGTACGGTAGTTTGAATAACAGCAGGGTGTTGCCAGGCGATAGTTTGTTCTCGGAAGCACGGACCATATACCGGTATTGCAGCAAGACGGTTTTCGGAGGGATAAAAGACACTAATAAAGCAAATTATTGGCTTGAATAGCAAAAGATGACCCCTGATTATCAACCCCTTGGCTCTGCCTTTCTCTTCTCCTTCATTGCGCCCAACATGGCACGGAAGCCGTGAATGCCTTTACGGTCATTCTCTCACCCAGAAGCTTGGCCAGACCATCATCCAGCTCCCACCAAATCGGACAAGGTTCACATGATGGATGGAATTTCTCGAATTCTCTTCGAAGGACCATCACACTCTAGCTAGCTAGCTAGTGCTGCATTCAGTACATTCGGGCTTCTCCTGACCGACCGCTGTCATTCTGCAGGCAAGAGCCCATGACACTCCACCCTGCCACTCCCGAAAAGAGCATACACGACGCCAAAAACTGTGGAAAGTTCTTCTCGGATATCACCGGTCGCCCCGCCGTGGTGCGACCGGTGCTCAATGTGCTGTGGGCAGCGCTTAGCATGCGCACGGCTCTTGTGATTTGGTGTGGCATTGTCTCTGATGCAACTACTAGTAGCTAGGTAGATAGTACCAGTATAAGTTTGGTCGGCTGTTGGGTGGTGGGTTATTGATGGGTTTGATCTTTTCTTCGATGTCCTTGATTTGTGTCTTTTCGCTCGCAACTTCCAACTGCCCCGTCGTCTCGACACGACCGTTGCGACATTTAGGGGGGGTTAGGCTCGGGGAGGAGGAGGGGGAGGAGGAGAGAAAGAAGGAGAGGGTTAGATTCCAGGTTCCGGGTTTGGCTCATGACGCACAGACATAAGCGTACCCAAAGACATATAGAGGATGGGGGAGATGGCAAGAAACCATAAAAACCATTAAATACAGAGACATCACCCCCACCTCTACTTATGAAACGGCACTAAAAGTGTCAGCATCCTCACACCAACCCAACCCGTTCAAATGAAGTCTAACCCGCTCGACATTTTTCTGATCCCATCCTACTGGTATCCTTCCATTGCTCCAACCTATTCCTTATTTTAACTACATCGAATACCCATGCAACCGATACCTGCAGTTTGGATCATGCGGAGGTCTCCCAACACGGTAAGTCAACCAGCACATAAAGGGATGACAGCAACCTCTTGGCGGTGGACGATAGGCTGGAGGAAACGGAAGGAGCATGGGTAAGATCGGAGCATACGTTTGTTGTTGGATTTGAATTTGGGGTGCTGGTGCCGGTGCTCTTGCGATTTGAATTGGTTGCCGCTGTTGTAACTGTTGCGGTGGTTGAGAATTTCTCACGTTTTGCACTATGGGTGGAGTGGCGGCTGCCATGATATTGTTATTGGCGATTTCATTTGAATTCAAATCGACAGTTGGCGGTGCCGGTGGTGTTATCGCTGGTATCGCTGGTGCAGTTGCACAGGTGTCGCACAAACACTGGCCCATTTCATTGTACTTGATTTTGGTACGTGTGCGTTGTCGCAACAGTGTGAGGTATTGGGAGAAGAATCGCTCACCATTATCCTTTGGCAATGACTCCACATTCAAAAATGGAACGGCAACACCAACCATGACAGCCATTGAATTGACGAACGCCAGCTGTGAGTGGTTCCAAAAAGGAACAACCCTTTCCCAAGTAGCTGGAATGGACCTTGGCTCCTCACCATTCGCCGCTTGTTTCATGAAGGAACGTTTGTGCCGAATTTTCAGATTGTATCTTGCTGTCCCACAAAGATTCAAACTGTCAATGAGGGTTCTTCTCATTCCACCATTCCCGAAGTGAGCAAATCTGTCATGGAATGCTTCGAGTTTGGACTCTCCTCTTTTTGAAAGGTATTCGGTAAGTTGATGCTTGGAATTGGAGCTTGGTGGAATAGCGTCATACATTTCCTCAAGTGTCATTGGATCGCAAAGATGTTTTGCTTTTTCTATGCAGTTTTCGATTGCACTTTTGGTGTCGGAAGTGAACAAAGGAACTCCTCGGAAAGGATCCAATCGCCCTTTTGCTGGTGCGCTACCTGGTGAAGCAGTGACCTTGTATTTGCAAAACCATTCTTCTAACATCTGTTTCATCGTTACCGGTTCTCTCATTTGTTTTCGGAGGTATTTTGAGTATCTTTTTCGGAATACTTTCGAGGCCTTGAGGTCGGCAATGTCACTCGCGCTGTAGCATCTTCCTGTCGGCGAGAGGGTACCATTGGTCAGCGCTGACAAGAGCTTCTCGTAGTCATCTGCTGAGTAATGATAAAGGCAATTCAAGAGGTCAGTAATCGCGTCATTGAAATCGATATGATTCTTCTTCAATGTGCCAGTAATCCTTTTTTCGAAATGAAAGAGACCAAGCCGTCCCTCCAAATCAGGAAACAGGACGTTCCAGTATTGATCCTTGTTCGGCCATGTATCGGAGTACATCGCCTTTGGTTGGAAGCCCTGTCTTCTAGACAATTCCATTGCCCCGTGGGAAAAGTGAGTTGTTTGTGTGGAAGGCACAAGCACAGCAGAGGCAATTTCGCCAGTGGAAGAAGCAGCATCCCAGACGGCCACAGCACCAAGACTCTTTTGATAGTTCTTGACGACCTGGAAGGTATGGTCCTGGCAGAAAATGTCATCACACTTGACATTTTGGATTTCCCTGGTGTGGCGCTCATTGTCACTGATACCCCAAGGATTATGGGAACTGAGAGCAGCTTCATCGTGTATGTCTCTGACTGTGTCACCAAGTGGCGGATATGATTTGATGAACTGGCTGTCCTTGTTGATGTAGTGTTGTACAACAGTGGCTGGTTCTTCTCTCTTTCGTTCCTGCCAATAAGAATAATAAGAAGTAATTTTCTCCATGAATCCTTTGTTGATTGCATTGTACAAGAGCCGACTGCAGAGCTCCCCGTTTCCATAGGTTAGCATGAGTGTCTCGAATACCGCCGTAACCGAACTGGAAAGATGGCTTGACCTGTTGTTGAGGGCATACTTGGTCTCAACAGGATACTCGAGTGCTGCGTATGGAGGAATTACAACCAGGATTTCGCTGGAATTGGCATCATATCTTCTTCTGCAGCACGGACACAGCATGGATTGGACAATACACCACAATGGGGGACCGTCCAAAGTGAATATGGGAAACAGCTTCTTATTCTTCGACCAATTTGTTCTGGTATTGTTGAGAATGCCGGTACAAGAAGAAGACGGGCAAGGGACTTTGATGCCGAATCGGTGCCAATCAACTAACAAGAGCTTTTGTCCAACAATCGAGTGGTAGTGGGGATTGGTCCATGCATCCTTTGTATCTGGAACCACCATACATAGTCCCTTGAAATGCTTGCGAAAGAGCGATTGGTCTCTGGAAAGCTTTTCGGCAACCTCATTGGCGAATGCAAGCATAGCAAGAGGAGCGGTTTTCTTCTTGTTGTTGTCACAAAAGCTGGAATCTTTCACTAATTTGCACACGGCCGCACACAGGGATTCTGGGGAGACAATTACTTTCTTTGGAGCCGGCTTTGCACCTGGCTTTGGAGCTGCCTTTGGAGCGGCGGGCTGTGGAACCGGATTCACCTTTGCCGCTGGCTTTGCTGCAAAGAATGCCTCCCCAGCTGCTTTGGTGGAATGTCGCCAGCTCCCCTTTTCGTGAGGTTGCAACGGTGTGGAGAAAGTTGTTTTGAGTCTCTTCTCCTCGGCCATGGTCTCTCTTGTCTCTGTACTCAATTCGCCGCCTCCTCTTGTTTTGGTGTTTCTGGAACAGAGTTTGTGATGCTCCCTCTTGGGAAGTCGGATGTTCAACCCCGACTTTCGTTGGGCGTAGACCTTGCAGATAACACAGTCTTTAATAGGATCAAAAGCAACTCCTCCAAACAGAGTTTGTTGATCGCCTTTCTTCTTTTTCCTGCTGGAAGTGTTGGAAGCTGCTAGCTGATAGGTTCGTTTCTGAAGAGAAAGTCGCTGTTGGCTTTGTCTCCCCATTTTTTCTTCATTTTGAGACAATGGCGTTTGCTTCCTGGCATACGGATTGGCTGCTGTTGGTCTAGGACTCATGTTGGATGCTTGCGATGGGTGGATAATAGATGCTTTTGTAAGTTAATGACTATGCCGACCATCATTGTCATTGCGTTCTATCGAGATGGAATCCTGCTTTCTTGTTTCCGATGCTTCGAAATGGAGGAAAAGATAGCACAATGGCTCCAACAAGATGTGTCATGTATGTGTCAGACAGTAATAAGTAATGGTGACACATACATCCACTCTCCACCAATCATATCACTGCCTTACTACCCCGAAAAACTCGTTGAGAGCCTTTTACCGGGTGACGTCATGAAAACACGTTTAAACCACGCGAATAAGTGAGACTTTCTTGCGACTTTCACAAAATCCTTGTGTGTCAAGGCACGGCAGAAACAACAACACACTGGCATAAACAACAACACACCAACATCAACCACGACAACATAGCACCAACGATGTCTGCAACAACGATGTCCACTCCATCTGTTTGGGTTCAGCTCTACTACGATGGAAAGGGTGAAGAGGGCTATCCTATTAAAATTAGACCAATTCCGGAAGATGTTGCCGACTTGGCAGAGGCCGTTAAAGACAAGATGGCGGAGGAACTCATGCACTGTTCTCCTGCTAAGCTTGTTGTCTACACCGCCTTTCTCTCAAGACAAGGCTATTGATCCTGGTGACCCTGTGACCACCGGCGCTGCCTCCAGGCATCCCTTGATTGTGGTGGCACCACAGCCGCATTGAGATGGTGAGAATAATTTTGGAATTTTTTCATTTGTTTATTGTTGAATTTATTCAAATCGTCCTTCGCTAACACTTCATCTTCCCCCTTCCCCGTAGACCACACTGATGCTTTTGCCCGAATCGAGAAAAAATTGGATGACTTGGCAAGTGTTGATGATGTTCCCATGTCAGAAGCAACATCACATTTTGCATCATCGTTGCTTCAGGATCTGAAGGTGAAAATTGCTGTCCTCCCTCCAAACACAGATCCTGGAGAAGGGCAGGTGCAAACATATCCTTGGGGGGACAATGAACATGAGATAGACGGACAACCAGGCTGCAAGCAAATCCTAGAGAAAGAGATTTTGCCTTTGTCTGTGAATGACCAGGAGTACGCCTTGTATGATGCACATAGTCAGTCGCTTCGGCTGCAGGCTGGGAAGCGCAAATCGAATGGATTTTCTGATCTTGCTGTTGGTCCTCGTATATCGATGGACTTTGCAGAGACTACAGCCCAGGATCTATTGCTTTCCTACACGGATGCACTCGCGGAGCTCAAACGGGCAAAATCAAACTCAAAGCTGGGGCAGCTGCTCCTGCAATTGGTCTCTCTGTCTGAAGTCTCTGAGAACCGTCAAGGTGTTCTGGTGTTGGGCACCGACTGTGCAACAAAGTAGCGATTGCTGCATTTTTCAGACTACAACAGGATCATGGTGCAGCCCTACAAGCACGGAAAAAAGTGCATTGCCGATTTCAAGACCCTAATGGAAAATTGTACAATGAGAAAGGAAGCTAACGTGCCCCCTGAAAAATTGGTTATCATCCATGAAGACACTGGTGTGGAAAATGATATTGATATGGGAGACTTTGGGATGGAAGAAACTAGCAAAGACAAGGCAATTGCTGGGGAAACAAAGCTTAGAAAGCTTGCCAGTGCATTGGAATATTGTTATGGTGAAACGTTAGAAGTTCCTGCTTGGGCAAAAGCATCAGAAAGCTGCCGCTCATACTTTGTGTGAGGCAGATGTGGGATTTGAAGATGATGTCTTCCTCTAGCTAGCTAGCTAGGAAGTGTTTGATCTTTTCTTGGATGTCCTTGATTTGTGTCTTTTCACTCGACACTGTCTCTCTAAAGTTTTTGGGGGGGGTAAGGCAGAGAGGAGGGGGGAGGAGGCAGAGCAACAACAACAACAACACAACAACAACAACAACAACAACAACAACAACAACAACACAACACAACACACACAACAACAACAACAAAAAACACAAACAAACACAACAACAACAAACAACACAACAACAACAACAACAACACAACAACAACAACACAACAACAACAACACACACAACAACAACACAACAAACAACAACAACAACAACAACAAAACAAAACAAAACAACAACAACACAACAACAACACAACAAACAACCACAACAACAACAACAACAACACAACAACAACAACAACCAACAACAACACAACAACAACAACAATGCACGATGCACCAGCACCTGTCCATGAGATTCTACAGGCAGTATCGTCTTCCACTAACACTATCTTCCGCCGCCACCATCCAATGGTTGCTGTGAACCGTATCGCAATTGGATGCTTAACCGGAGAGGTCGTCCTCCGCATTCTCCGCTTTGTGTGCACCGACTACACGGATATTCGTACTCGATGAATGGCTGATTTAAAAAGGGAGAAGGATAGATTTGAATAAAACGAGAAAATAAGGAACAGGGTTTAGACTCTCAAATAGCGAGGATGACAGGATGACACTTTCAATACCGCGTAGCACATTACTTATGCAAATCCCCCCGTTTTGCCATCTCCCCTCTCTTTATAAGTAGAAACGTCATCATCGAACACACCTGCCGGCTCCGAAAACTGGAATCCAGAATCTAAACCCTTCCCTCCTCTCTGGTCCT